GGCCACGCTGAAGTAACATGCACCAAAATAAAGAGAAATAAAAGAACAGTTCATTCATCCAAGGAGACAACACGAGAAACCAGAACAGTCAAAGGTAACATATATGGCATCAAATGCCCCAGTTCAGATACAAAAAATGGCACAGACGCCAGACAAAAGGGCATCGCAGGCCCCAAAATACAAAAAAGGAAAGGAGGGAGAGCGCTAAGCATCCTCAGCACGAGCCTCATCCTCCACCACCAAATCAGTCGCCACGCAAGCACCACTAGTGCTCAGCCCCGCAGCCAGGTCGCTCACGTCCCCAACACCCAACTGACTAAGCTCAGGCGCCTGCTCCTCGTCCTGTCCCACCGGATGACCAGTTCCTTCCTCCAACAACTTCTGCATGAGCAGAATGTCTTCATCCGGATCCCAATGAGAGGTCCGCCCTTCCTTAAACTCCAGCATGAGCTCGCCTCGGGCCTTAATGATGGCGTCATCAGCAATAGAGATGCACTGCTCCCTGAGGGACTCGACCTCCGCAGTCCTCTCGGCTAACTCGCGCCGTAACCTCTCGACCTCGGCCTCACTATCCCTGAGGCACTGCAGACTCTCCTGTTCAGCCTTCCGGGATGCTGCCTCCCTTTGCCGCAAATCAGCGTTGGCCTTGGATACATCTTGTATCCGCTTCTCCTGCGCCACGACAGACTTCCTTAGATGGAGACTGCTAGTGAGTACCTGCACAACAAAACTCATAGATGTCGGCCAGCTTACTCATAGATGTCACGTCGAAATAAGTCGACGCAGTAGCTGGAATCGTGATGGTAATAGACCCGGCCTCCTCATCCACAACGACAGCCTGGGATGACCCGGCTCTCGCCGAAGGCTGCTGACTCAATGGCTGCCGACTGGGCGGCGTTGCCAATACGTCCTCAACCCTTGCATCTGCCCTAACCAACTACTCCCTCTTCCTCTTCTCTCGACGCCTGGCGATGGATTCGCTGGCACTCGGGACAATCAACTTCTTCATCAATGACTCTGCAAGTGCAAACTCTCCAACGGTTAGTGGGTTCAGCTCGGACTCACCAAAAATGATATGGTTGCAGTATCGACTCAGGAGCACACTCAAGTCTGCTTCAGCGAGGGGAAGGGAGTACCTCTCTGAAAAGCCTCTACTCCGGCCCAAAGAATACTGCTCCTCAGATTAGACTCTGCTAGCACTACTCGCCAATCCCTCTGCTCCAACGGGATGGCTAACACCCTCTGGGTAGCTACGTCCAAGCTTTCCCCGCTCTGCCCAACACGATTGAAATCAAGCTCTGCAAACAAAAAACACAATCAAGATTTAGTAATCAAAAGTACGAAAGAAACGACGAAGTTCTCACCAGTGGCTTGCCAGCCGATCGGAATCTCGCCCGTGCCCCTCTCTCCGAAAACGGCCTGACCCTTAAAGAAAAAGTAGCAGTCTTTCCAGTTTTTATCACTAGACCGCAGGTCGGTCACCAGATGAGACCGGTCATGCCTCAAGTTTAGCAGATATCGACCCTTCTCCTTATCATTCTCCTTCAGGAAGTACGAGTACAGCAGCTTGTGCAACCCAAACACAATTTGGTGCCAAACACACAGATCCTCCAGGGCCATTAGCAATCTCCAGGCGTTTGGCATAAGTTGGGAAGGAGAGGCCAGCCCTCTCCCAAGGGACATCGACATTACACCTTCACACCCTAAACTCTTTACTTGAGAGTTTCACTTCATCGCCATAGTCACAGTCCCCGACTAGACTTTCGGTAATCTCTCATTCCCTAGCCCTCACTATATTAGCCTTTCGGCCTTGCTGACTTGAGCGTCGGAGTGCCTACGGCAAACACCACCCTGGTGTTTCCCGTTCGCTTCACGCGTGTGTTTCTCTACGTGTGCAGGTACAGCAGATCGCTAGTGGCCTCAACCTCGCGGGAGTAGACCCCCCTTTCCGCACAGGTAGATTTTTACGTCTACAACAGCAAATCTTAACTACGTACCTCAAGCGGGGCGTTACACTCCCCTTTTCGTGAAGAGAGGTGCCAATTTATACACCTTTGAGGTCAATGTAATGAGTGCTTTTGCAAGTTGTCATGACACATGGGGACCACTCTGTAATCCTTATCTTTTTATTTTGATAAAGTTGGGACATGCGTGCGATCCTTATCCACTCATAGACAAAACTTGAATTTGCTGGGTTGGTGACAGTTGTATCCCTTCTGTCTTGGGGCGACGTGGCAGCTCCTGGATGGCACAAAGTCTTCCTGAACTCTGATTGGTTGGTGCTAACATCAGTGCGACTTTTTAGGCACAACAGAACCCCCCCCCCCCCCAAGTTTCTAGAGTGCATAATCGCACTTCAAAAACTCATGTCTTAGATCTGAATGGCTGTCGCACTATAGCCTATAGTCTCAAATTGAAGAGCTCAAACTATGCTTGGCATGATTGGGTGCTGAGAGCTAGGACTGCGATCTGAGAGCTTGGAGCAATCTGAAGCTGAACACGATCTAATAACTGACATGAAATGTCTAGTAGATGAATTCTGGAGGAAGTTAGCGTCAGAAACCCAAATGCACAGCTTAGAGGCCTTAAACAGATAAGCCAACTTAAAACAGCCATAACTTTTGATTCGGGAGAAGTTTTGGAGCCCGTAAGATATCCACGGAAAGCTTGTTTCGAGCTCTACAATGTGGCAATTAGGAAACTAGTTGGGGCCATTTTCGAGGCCAAAATCCACCATTTCTGCATGTTTCAGGGCTGTTTTGAGTTTTCTACGCGTTTTTTCTAACCCTGGCAACTAGTCGCGATCTAAGAACTAAGAACGGATTACGATTTGAGAGTTGAAAACACGACCTGAGGCTGTTTGCAATATCAAAGCTAAGAGCTGATCGCGATCTGATAGGAGCTCGACTTGAGAGTCTAAGGCATGCGATTTGAACGATCTAATGCACACAATCTCAAGTAAACGAGCAAGCTTATGAGCTCAATCAGAGAGCATTAGAGCTCAATTAGAGAGCATAAAGAGCTCGATCAGAAAGCGCGAAGCTTGATCTGAGAACATAAAGAGCTCGATCAGAGAGCATAAAAAGCTCGATCAGAAAGTGTGCAGCTTGATCTGAGAACACAAGGAGAATTTCCATCAGAAAATGCGAAGATTGATTTGAGAACTCAAGATCAGCGGTCTAAGCATGCAATCAACGATCTGGCCACGCGATCGGAGAGTAAAGATCAGCAATCTAAAGCTAAAGATCAAGACGATCTGAACGTGCGATCAGCGATCTGGCCACGCGATCAGAGAGCTAAAGATTAGTAATCTGAAGTTGAAGATCAAGATGATCTGAGCGTGTGATCAGTGATCTGGCCACGTGATCGGAGAGCTAAAGTTCAGCGATCTAAAGCTGAAGATCAAGATCAAGATGATCTGAGCGTGCGATCAGCAATCTGGCCACGCGATCGAAGAGCTAAAAATTAGCGATCTGAAGCTAAAGATCAAGACATTTCTGAGCGTGCGATCAGCGATCCGGCCACGCGATCAGAGAGCTAAAGATCAACGATATGAAGCTGAAGATCAAGACGATCTGAGAGTGCGATCAGTGATCTAGCCACGCGAACGGAGAGCTAAAGATCAACGATCTGAATCTAAAAATCAAGATGATCTGAGTGTGCGATCAGCAATCTAGCCATACAATCGGAGAGCTAAAGATCAGCGATCTAAAGCTGAAGATCAAGACGATCTGAGCGTGCTATCAACGATTTGAAGTTGAAGATCAAGACGATCTGAGCGTGTGATCAGCGATTTGGCCACGAGATCAGAGATCTAAAGATGAGCGATCTGAAGCTGAAGATCTGCGATCTGAGCGTGCGATCAACGATCTAGCCACGCGATCTGAAGCTAAAGATCAGTGATTAAAGCTGAAGATCAAGACGATCTGAACGTGTGATCAGCAATCTGGGCACGTGATCTAAGGCTAAAGATCAGCGATCTGAAGCTGAAGATCAATACGATCTGAATGCGCGATCAAAGATCTGGCCACGCGATTTGAGAACTTTGATGCGTGCGATCTGCGACAGGCCACACCATCGAGGAGCTTGGATGTAGGTTCGAGGCTTGTATGGGCCACCAAACTGTTGATGCTTGATTTTGACACCAACGACTCGCATGTGCAAAGTGCTAAGCGGACTTAGAAATTACACATGATGAATTCAGGAGATTTGAATATGATGCTAAAACGTAAATAAAAGATTGGCAAGAAGGGTTTTTACAGTGGTTCGGATGCTCAAAAGCGAATCCTACGTCCACTGTGATTTTATTATTCTCTGACTATTTCTATGATATTACCCGCAAGGCGTAGAAAGAATGGAGAAAATCTTTGTTTACAAAGTAAAAATAATGAAATGAAACTCAAATCTATATCTAGCTCTCATATGTCTAGTCTCCCCTTTTCGTGAAGAGAGGTGCCAATTTATACACCTTTGAGGTCAATGTAATGAGTGTTTTTCCAATTAGTCATGACACGTGGGGGTCACTCCTTAATCTTTTATCTTTTTATTTTGATAAAGTTGGGACAGATGTGCGGTCCTCATCCACTCATAGACAAAACTTGAATCTACTGGGTTGGCGACAACCGTATCCCTTCTATCATAGGGCAACGTGGAAGCTCCTGGACGGCACAAAGCCTTCCTGAACTCTGATTGGTTGATGCTGACATTAGTGCGATTTTTTAGGCACATCATCATTATTTCTAAACGGAACAGTATTATGATCATGAAAGGCAAATGATCTCCAAAAGCGCCATAAGTTAAGTTGTCCCTGTTTAAAATGAAACTTGTAAAACATGCAAAGATGTATATAGATGATTTTTAACATTTAATATAAATCCAGTCTTATTTTTATGAATGTTTAATAATTCAGGAACAGTGAACTCAGTCATGTTCTACTCTGTAATGTTGATCTGCAAATTATGGGAGGCATATATATTGATGCAATGGAATAATGTGTATTGGATTTTTACTTGGATCAAAGCAGAATGCTTGAGATCCATGAATTCTTACAGAGATTTAAGAAAATACATAATGTTGGAGATATCTATTTCAACTAGCTAGTTGTAGATCACTTACAACTACCATTGTTGCCCAACTTATTTCATTCAGGATTGAATTGATTGTTTTTTTTCTGGCCAACCCACCTGGCCTGAAGGAAAGAGCAGCCGGTTTTCAAACCGATTTTCCTTCTTTCCTGATGGAAATGGAGATTTAAAACCTCTTAACTTGTCTCATTTTCTTCCTTCCATTTGCGGAACACTCTCTCAGCTCCAGCTGAAACCATTCAAGTCCAGCTGTTTGCAGCTTGAAGCAGCATCATTTTCATGATCTCTGGTATTCAGGTCCAGTTTTGTCGAAAAGTATGGCAGTGATCTATACCCTTGTAAATTTTTTTCATTCTCTAGTTTAATTGATTCTGCTCTCTTGTTAACTTGGTCTAGGAAGTTGTCACCTTCATTCCTTGCTTTAAATCTTCCTTCAGTGAAGTTGCTGCTGCTGCCACCATTTGCCTTTTCTCCCTGCAGTCCAACGCTAATTGATAAATCACCGGGGCCTCTTTCTGAAGAAAACAGTCTCCTTTCTGTGTCCTTCCCTATTGAAGCAAGAAACTTGTTCTCTTTTGGCTCTTCACACCACTTGAGTTCAGCTTGCTGTAGCATAGGCTCTTCCACAATCTCTTTTGGCTCTAACGTCACATTACTATGATAAGGTCTTAATCCAATGCCGCCATTGTGTATTTCTTGTTCCTTTTGAGATACTTCACAGGAAGTTAGGCAGCTGTCCATTGAACAATCAGGGGGCTGGTTTGTTTGTGTTTGCTGAGGGCAGAAACCCTGAAGTTCTTTCAGGTCTGAAAATGTAGAATTCAGGCATTGAGTGGATACTTTTGACACCAGTTCCGAGAGTTGAACTTTCGCAGCTTCGAGTCCTGCTGTTCCCAAATTCTGTCTTCCAAGAGTCTCCTGGGCTTTCTCCAGCACTGCCTGTAAATATTTCCCTTGAGCCTCGATACGAAGCTGCAAATGTCGCTGTACCTGGTTTAGTTCAAAACAAGAACTTAGAATTCTGCTAAATTCCTCTTACCAACTTCAAGATGACATGAAGAGATGCATGGATGATATTAATGATCTCACAATGTTATATAACAGAATTGTAATAGCTGCACATGTTTTTTCTCTGAAACAATTCAGATGCCTATTCTATTGCAATGTAATGAACCTTATGTAAACCTATATTTGAAATTCTGAGTGCATAAATTGAATGGTTCATTAGGATCTATAATTTCCGTTTTCGGAACTTAGAGGCAGCTTTTTTGTAATAAGAGCTATTCATGGGAATGAGTAATGAGACAGTATGAGAAAATCTGTTTTAATTTCAAAACATTCAGAAAGTGCTATACCTCAAGCTGCTCATGTAGTCTTCTCTGCACTTCAATTTGCATCTGTATCGTTTCGCTTAGGTGTAAGCTTCTGGATTTAAAGATCTCATTGTTAGTCTAGTGAAATAGCAACAACAATAATGAGTAAATCAACATGTGTAAAAGTGATGTGTTTCTTACTTGTTTGATTGGGGTCCTATGCTTAAATTGTTCATATGAGTTCCATTTGTTTCAGATATTCTTTCTCCGGCCACCCCAGCAACTGTACCTACACCAACACCAGTACTGATTAAGTTTTTTTTATTTTTTATTTATGCTTGATGAAAGACATATGCAATGTAATTCTTCTCATTTTGGTCAATTTGAAAGCATTTATAAAAAAATTCTAGACATTGTCCTTACCTATTTTATTGTTTCCATTAGTTGTTTGTCCATGAAGATTCTTGCTGAGCCTGTACTTCTGCAAACCAAAAGGTGGAAGAAGGAATCAGTATATTTATGTTACAAATTAACAGAACACAACCCATGCTCCCAAGGAATCCTTAAAACATGACTAAAATGTGAGAGACTGAAATTTTGGTTAATATCTTTGTAATTTGAACCTGAATTTATATGTTAAATTGATGATTTACCTGCAGATGACTCTTTAGATGGTATATGGTAAGTCCTGGAATTCCCATAAGTTTCATAACAGTTTTCGGAGTAGCCTCTGGAAATTTTAAAGACAAGAATCTTGAATTAGCTAAATTGAATTATTATAAATGCATTTGTAGTGAGAATTGTTAAATGTTTAAATAAATACTCACTGTCTGCTCCTCCAAGTTGATTGACAGCTTCTATGAACCTTTCATGAAGATCTGGTGTCCATTTCAGTCTCGGCTTGGCATCGGTTGACAGGACAAGTCCTGAATCTCCAGGGCCGTTCCCACCTTGCAAGAACAAGTGTCTTTCAGGAGGAATAGACATTCTTGAAGAAGAGTGGATGTTCTTTCCCTGATGTTGGTGGTGATGGTACATCATCTGTCTTTCAATAAATCCAGTAAAAAAGTGTTAGCTTCCCCTGGAAGGCAGCACACATCTCTGAACAAACTATGCTCAAAACCTTTTTTTTTTTCCTTACCTGAAAGATTTATTTCTCTTGATATCCAATCTTTTGCTCCCTGGAATGTGAAACTAGAGTATGCTAATTTCTGAACTTGGTGTTACTGATCTTGTAGCTGACTTGGGAAATTCTTGCAGTGAAAGGTAGAATGGAGATGGATTTATAGACAAATTGGAAGGGTAGAGGTCGGCAGCAAGAGCATAGAATCTGGAACAAAAATGACAGAACAATTGATCCAATCCAATCCAATATTCACAGCGACTTGAAAAGAGATATTGTCCTTCCTTTACTTTGCGAAAAGTGGGACCTGCCCTGGAACTCCACTTTCCATTCTAAGACAGAAGAACATTATTAACCCAGTTGAATAAACAAACAGTACAGCACAACTTTGTGAAAAAACCTCACACCTTGCATTAGGTACCAGAAGAATTGATCCACCAAAGTGTGTGTTATTGTGTGAGCATTCGCATTCGTATTCGTCTTTCTGGCAAAGTCAAGAATCTTATTCCCAGGATTTTATAGAGGAATTTTCTGACTTGGATTAGGGGAATCCACTATCTATCTTGTCTTTGAGACCTTCAAAATCTCACCACCCTCTTTGATCACCTTCAAGGAAGATTCTTGGAACTCTTTCACTTTGTTATTGGAGTCATCACTTTTCAGTTTGTCAATGTAAATTGTGAATTGATTACTAATATTGTAAACAAGGATTATATATATATATATATATATGAATGGTTATCTCCATTAAAGGGTGTCGATAGAGACGCCAAAGAACGTTTTTAACTGGTTATATTTGGAGAATGTGGAGGAAGATTCTTTTGACTGGAGCACCTGGAAACTTTGGAATTAGATACATTCAATACAATACAAAACAAGAACAACAAAAAAATAATAATAATTAAATTAGAACTAAAATGGTGCAAATACAAAAGATGCTCTTTCTTGGAGATTGTTTGGAGGCAAGGAATGGAATAAGGAATACATTCTGTTTTGTCTCCTTCAGTAAGTTTGGTACTTATTCAGCCCACACAGTATAAATAAAAACTTTATATGAGGCAGAGAGAGGGACCCAAATCTTTTTCATTCTTCAATTGGCATAAGACAGCCGGCCCCTCCTGGGGAATCCTAAGCAGCTGGGACCTCTTCAAAAGAAGAAAAAAGAAAAAAAAATTAAAGAAAATATTGTACTTGCATTTGATGAAAACAAAGTCCTAAGTCTTGAGAGATGACTACTCGCCCTTAAGAGTCTTGACTACTCCATTCATGCCTTCATTAGCTTTTGCAGATTCTATTGTATTCATATACAATTAATACACCCTTCCGACTCTTTTGCTATATTTGATTATATACTTTTTCTCTATTTTTATGCACTAAGTCTTTTGAAGCATCTCTTTGCTACATTACAAGAAATATGATTTCTCCCGACCCAGAAATTGCATGTCTCCCTTCCCAACACAATGTGGGATATGTTCACTGACCCAAGAACCACGTTGGTAAATTATTGTATCATGTCTATCGTACTTATCTTCCTTAACATATCAGTTTATGCACACCTCGATTAATCTTTAGGAGAGACTAGCGCAATAACCACTATCACGACATTTCACTTAAATTACGGATGTTTAAATAAGAAATCGAACCTGAGATTGTATGTCTATCTACAATATCCTCAAATCATCCTAATAATTTGGCTACCCACGGATGGGTTAAGTGCCCCTACCCGCTTGGCTAGCCAATATAACGATGCAAAACAGTGTTGTAATAGTGAACTCATATTTGCCATGTTCATATTCACTTTACAGTACGTGCAATTATGGACTTTACGTGCAAATTTTTTATGAATTTGTGTACCTAAATTGTACAGCATTCGGTATCAATTACTTTTGTTTCTGCTAACCTCTGTCCTGCCTCTATGTACTGCAATAGATAGATGCATAACATGCAGTAATGCTCAAAGCCTCAAAATGTGAGTGTCAAAAGAATTAATTCCTTTATCTAGAGATCACCTGTACTATTTGAGAAGGGGTTCTGCATGTTAGCTGAAAGAGAAAATCTATGATACTACAGTGACACCACTAATAATTGCATGAATATTAGTATATTACATAGTTATTATATTTAATAATTATCAATCACATTTAATTTAAAGCTAGATAAGAGAGAAAAAAATTTGAGATAATATAAATTCATCGGTGGTGGTATCAATGATGTGGAGCGGTGGTATTCTAGATATATACTAGCCTAAAATATTATTGCTAAAATATGTATTGTCTAATAGCTTAAAATTTTGAATCTAAGTGATAATTAATTAGCATGATATTACAGGTTTTGAGTTGGACCAAAGTTGTTAAACTTAAATATTAATGTTATTTTATTATTTAATAGTTTAACCTTTTATTGTGATTATTTAACATGATATCAAAGCAAGATGTCTTATTTTAACTCAACGGCCTCAAGAGATCCATTATGATGTTAAAATTGAATCAAATTTATACATTAAAATTGTGTTTTTCTTCTCATTACCTTGAACTTTTCTCTTATTATTACCATTATATTAACAAAGATGAACAGTTTAAATAAAATGTCAAATATTAAATCAAAGAATTCAAGTTAGAGAACCATTTATGAGCTTTTTTAAACTAGATTCTGATACCATGCACATTCTTTCTTCATCAATCTTTAATCTCAATTTCATTATGCCTTAATTAATTAGGAATTTATAAGTTTTTAGGTTGCCAGAGAAGAGTGCTACAGCTATAGTACTAGTAGAGTAGTTTGATTTGTTTATATATATTTGCATTCCATTTCCATTAGCTATCCAAGTGTCGATCTCAAGTTCATTATGCTTATGCCCTTCTATAGCATTAAGGGATGTGGTGGTTGTGGTGATAATCAGGAATTCGATATCCTATATATATATATATATATACTTATTTAAAAATACAAAGAATAATATCTATAAGATCAACAGCTAATGCAGAATAAATTCTTATTATATATTTATATTAGGTTATATTAATGGAAATAAACCAAATACATTAAACCTACGCGACCCAAAAATATAAAAAAATTTATTGATAGATTGATAGAATGAGGACATAATATTTGATATGCTGATACGCATTATAAATGAGTGCTAGCTGCATATGGAACAAGTGTTTAATTCATGGTTATAATTTCATTTAAAGATCTGTGTAAACTAAATAAATTCTCATTCCTTGAACATTAATGTCTTCTTCATCTCAACTGCCCTTTTTGGAAGAGCAATTGATTTTGATTGGTCATGGTCAGGATATTATATGCAGTTTGGGAAGAATCTGTCAAAGCCCTTTGGCTTTGAGTAAAGCAATATTAAAGCAAGAAATTCCTACATAGTTTGATCTTGGCATGTGGATAGGAATAAATTGCATAAGATTAGTTCCTTTCAACTTACTACTACTTTACTTTCTATAAATTTCCTGAAATTGATCCATTGTCATCTTTCCTTCTTTATTTTTTATTTTTTATTTTTTATTTTTTTTTATTTTTTTTTTTTTTGGATAAGGTAAATTTGAAAAGGTAAATTTTGTAAAAGAAGAGAATTTTTGCAGATACCCCCAGAAGAGGTATAAAGAAGACTAAAACAGATGTGCTTATCTTTTTGAACAAAAGGATAGGAACAACCACCCAAAAAGGAGCACGCAAACTCCAAACAAAAGAGGGAGATAGGCTTAGGCGTCCTAACGGAACTCACGGGCTCAAACCAAACAGAAAAGAAAAATAGGCACAGGCGTACAATCAAAACACACAGGCTTAGAACAAACAAGACCAATTAGTCAGGCAAGCTCCAAATGACTCTAAGCTGAGGATGGATGGAATACTTGGAGGCTAGATCAGAGACTCGATCTTAAACTACTGGAAATGATCTCATCAGTGATCAATGGATATGGCGAACTTGGTGATTACTAAAAACATATACTTAGAAATATGCGAATTATTTGTTATGCTTTCAAACTAGCTACGAATAATATCGAAAAAAGCTTCAAAAATAATGTTTTAATTTTAATTATGGTATACTGAAAGGTGATCTTGTATATACATATAATTAAACAGGACTGCCCCATCAAAAAGTCCTTGTTTGGAGAGATTTAACTAGAAGAAACTATACGATGTTTAAGATTGTTTAATTATGTTCAACTATAAATAGAATAAACATGCGGCGCTAAACAGCTTTCATTTCATGTCTCCATAAGTACTAATACAAATATTATTTCCAATACTGGTACATGTAAAGTACTTATAATAAACTTTCTTTGATTTTGCTGAAATACTCTTGTGTTGAATCTGTATGCAGACGCCCGCGCGCGTCTTCAAGGTACAAGGGAATAGTTAGCTTTTTTATTCAATTCTGTGTTATCTAACTGCTATTACCTTCCTCCTCGCACTATGGATCTTATTCTCTCAACTTTAGGATTGAGGGTAATAATTTTTGTTCTTCCTTGTACTTTCATTTCCTTTTATGGATTCCATATTTAATGTAATTATATATGAAAAGAGAAACACAACAACTTAAGGACTAGTCAATCATAAGTGAAAACACGTGTAAAACGATGATTCATCGACAATTGTTGACTACACATGATAGGATCGTATATTAATTGAGAATAATAAGTGAGAAATGACCACGGAATGATATTCCTTGTGGAAAACAGTTGAGTTTAGGAGAGGAATATAATTTTAAGCTGCATACAAAAAAGCTAAAAAGGGTTCCATGGAAGTCGAATTGGAATGTAGGAATCTTAGCTTAATGTAAAGCCATTGAGTCATATTCTCAAGTCAAGTATTTGGGTTATAAAAATATTATATTCTTCTCTACCCAAAACCACAAAAAATGGGTTCCTCTCAGCTTTGCTTTTTTTTGTTTCTTTTTAGCTAATTAAGTCAGATGCCTTCATATCACAGATTATTATTAGTGCTGTGTTTCATAAGATGGGCCACTCTTTATAGAAGAAATTTCCATGTTTACAGATTGCTTAGGTTATTTTGTATGATTTATATCCTCTCATATTATGTTATATTATTCTTTCACCACTCACAACATGAACTTGGTAGACAAATGGTGGTCTATATATATATAACTATCTCTTTCTCATATGTTGGGGAACTTCCACTGATTGTAATACTTATTTTGATTCCAAAAACTTTGATCATTCCACTGTATCTACAGACTACAATCACCATGACTACTTTCATAATTCGATACATATCCAAGGCGAACAATGTACGTGTAAAAAGAATTGTGATTACATTTGTCTTAAAGAATACAAGTTAAGGAATGACAACATTTGACATGCATGCATGCATGAATTTTTTAGCACAAGCTTTTGCGTTCGAGATTTTTAACCCTAACGCAGTAATTCAGTTTCACAGTGTTGTCTCTACGTCGAGGCATCCTTCATTTCCTATGTTGGAAAGGTCTGTAAGATAATATATAAAATTATGATCACAT